ATGTTGGTTCCTCTGAGGCCCTGAGATCAGGGAGTCGGCCATGTTGGTTCCTCTGAGGAGATGAGGGTTTTGGCCATGTTGATTCCTCTGAGGCCCTGAGATCAGAGAGTCGGCCATGTTGGTTCCTCTGAGGAGATGAGGGTTTGGGCCATGTTGCTTCCTCTGAGATGAGGGTGTCAGCCATGTTGATCCCCCTGAGGCTCTGAGATCAGGGAGTCAGCCATGTTGGTTCCTCTGAGGCTCTGAGGGAGGACCTGTTTGCTCCTCTCCTGCTGCCGGTGCCCTAGTTCCTTGGCTGCATTTGCTGCATCACACAGTGTCCTTCCTCTGTCTCCCTGTCTCTGTGTATCTTCTCGTCTTTTATAAGGACGCCACTCAGATGGGATTAGGGGCTACTGCTTCCAATATAACTTATGTTTTTGTTATCATCCAGTTGATTCTGGCTCACGGTGACCCCATGTGGCCACGTAAAACTACCCCGACAGGGTTTTCTAGGCTGTAATCTTTATGAGAGCAGATTGCCAGATCTTTTCTCCCCTGGACCCTGTGGTGGGTTTGAACTGCCAACCTTCACGTTAGCAGCTGACCACTTAACTGTTGCACCACCAGGGACCCTTGACTTTATGTTGACCTAACTGATAGCATCTTCAAAGACCTGTTTCCAAACCAGGTCACATGCAAGGTATCAGACAAAGTACCAGGTTGAGGGCTTCAACACGTCCTTTTAGGGACACAGTGCATCTCTTAACAGAGGAAGCTGTCCAAGTCCAGCAGTGCATACAAAGGAACCTCAGGAAATATTGGGTGGGCTCAGGATTCAGATGACAGGTCCTTCCAGTGCCAGGGCAGACATCCCCAGTGGCCAGTGGGTCTCCACAGCCTGGCCCAAGCTCTAGGCAGCCACACCCATCCATTAGAATTGTACCCGCCAGGGCTGGGCTGTCTGTTATCAGGCAGCAGGCATGGATTGAGACATGGTCCTGGGAAGATTGGACCATGCTTCATGCAGCAGGGAACAACCATCTTCACCTCATCTCATAGGAGGTGAGACTGGGGTCTTGGTGCAGAGGGCTACACTGTCCTCGTTGTAGGTGGGCTTTGGGGCAAGCACAGGGCCACACGTTTGAATGCCAGCACTAGGTGTTCAGGGCTCCAGAACTTTCTGAAGCAGATAGTGGGTGTGAAGTTCTAGTTGGCAGTGGGCCCCTGCTTATGTGTGTGAGCCTCGCCAGCCTAGCTAACTTCACTTGTCATCCCTAGCACCACTGGCACCAGAAACCAAAGGCAATCAGACCAGGTGCAGTGGAGTTGACCC